GTTGTGACTATCTAAACCTGTTAGTTCTACTGTTACGTTTAGTACCGTACACTAACTAGTACGTGTGAGCCTAAACCTTTTAGTTCTATCGTTGTTTGTACCGTATACAGCAGTATGTTGTGACTATCTAAACCTGTTAGTTCATGTTGTTTGTACCGTACACAACAGTACGTTGTGACGACCTCAACGTGTTAGCTCATGTTGTTTGTACCGTATACAGCAGTATGTTGTGACGACCTAAACCTGTTAGTTCATGTTGTTTGTACCGTACAAAACAGTACGTTGTGACGACCTAAACCTGTTAGTTCATGTTGTTTGTATCGTATACAGCAGTATGTTGTGACTATCTAAACCTGTTAGTTCATGTTGTTTGTACCGTACACAACAGTACGTTGTGACGACCTCAACGTGTTAGTTCATGTTGTTTGTACCGTATACAGCAGTATGTTGTGACTACCTAAACCTGTTAGTTCATGTTGTTTGTACCGTACACAACAGTACGTTGTGACGACCTAAACCTGTTAGTTCATGTTTTTTGTACCGTATAAAGCTGTATGTTGTGACTACCTAAACCTGTTAGTTCATGTTGTTTGTACCGTACACAAAAGTACGTTGTGACGACCTAAACCTGTTAGTTCATGTTGTTTGTACCGTATACAACTGTATGATGTGACTATCTAAACCTGTTAGTTCATGTTGTTTGTACCGTACACAACAGTACGTTGTGACGACCTAGAACTCTTTGGAGAAGTAGGTTACTGGTTATCAAATCTAGAACTGGAATTCATAATAAACATCAGTTGTGATTGGGAAATGTTGACCATGCAACTTGACGCTTTTATTTGCAACAAGTTTTTAAATTCAGAAACCAAGGAACTCCAAGTGAATCGCTGTTACGGTGATCTGTTGTGTCTATTTTATTTCGTTCACTGATAACAAATAACACACCAGAATAGAACAGATTCAACAGTTCATTAAGTGTATATATCATAAAGGCTTTGAACTAGAACCACATTTGAAAATTTTATATTTTCAAGACTCGTTGTATGTCGTGGTATTGGCCTTAAATCCAACTCTCTTTGAGCTCAACTCTTAACCTTGAGATACCGTGTTCCAAGTTAAACACCACTCTTATTAAACAGGTATTAGTCACGTACAATTCCAGCAGAAGCGCAACTGTATCTATTTAATACTTAGGAAAATGAATTACTTACTTTGGTCTAGACGTCTTCAGCTGTAAGATATGTGATGTCCTGATAATAAGGAAGGATTTGTGATTTAGGCTTAGAATGCTCATGTTAAAGAAGTGTCAATTATCAGCAGGTGTTAATATCTTCAGCTAGTTTGTATCGCTCCACTAAATCTTTCAGCTATCGCACTTTCAAATATTAATACAACAAAATTTTACATAAAAATAACATGTTGTGTATAATACCATCAAACCTGGATTGAAGTCACAAAACCCACTTCCTGCCGATCACATTTGTTGATAGTTGGTAACCTTACATATTTCTTACATAGTATTTTTGTAATTTTGACCTTGTTACTTTTTACACAATTAATATATTGAGAGATCACACAATAACGCTTTCTCTCTCTCTCTATATATATATATAAATATCTTTTTTTTTTAATTGGGGGGAGTTTATATGGTGGTATTTCAAGTGGTGGGAGTGTATATGGTGGTATTTCAAGTGGTGGGAGTGTATATGGTGGTATTTCAAGTGGTGGGAGTGTATATGGTGGTATTTCAAGTGAGTGGTGTTTATATGGTGGTATTTCAAGTGGTGGGAGTGTATATGGTGGTATTTCAAGTGGTGGGAGTGTATATGGTGGTATTTCAAGTGATGGGAGTTTATATGGTGGTATTTCAAGTGGTGGGAGTGTATATGGTGGTATTTCAAGTGGTGGGAGTGTATATGGTGGTATTTCAAGTGGTGGGAGTTTATATGGTGGTATTTCAAGTGATGGGAGTGTATATGGTGGTATTTCAAGTGGTGGGAGTGTATATGGTGGTATTTCAAGTGGTGGGAGTGTATATGGTGGTATTTCAAGTGGCGGGAGTGTATATGGTGGTATTTAAAGTGGTGGAAGGGGTATGTGACAGATGTTTCACACATGGCTCTTCCAAACAACTCTCGTGCCATTATGAACTACAGTAGTTTCAAGTGTGGTTGGCTGAACAAACCTCCAGTTCGGTGTGAGTAACAGAATCCTATACAACCATTATACACGAACTTGTGTTCATGTTAAGACAGCGGACTGAACATGTTAAAGAAAGAGAACGTGTTATCCGATTATAACAAATATATATTTAATTGGTTACAACGTTTCAATCAGCTCTCTTCTTGAAGTTGTGTTGCTTTATACATTAGGAAAGCGTTTCCTAAAACGACCTGTTTTAAACATATTATTGGTTTAATTGAATATCGACTTGTTTTAAACATATTATTGGTTTAATTGAATATCGACGTGTTTTAAACATATTATTAGTTTAAGTGAATATCGACCTGTTTTAAACATATTTTTAGTTTAAGTGAATATCGACCTGTTTTAACCATATTATTAGTTTAATTGAATATCGACGTGTTTTAAACATATTATTGGTTTAATTGAATATCGACTTGTTTTAAATATATTATTGGTTTAATTGAATATCGACGTGTTTTAAACATATTATTAGTTTAAGTGAATATCGACCTGTTTTAAACATATTTTTAGTCTAATTGAATATCGACGTGTTTTAAACATATTATTGGTTTAATTGAATATCGACGTGTTTTAAACATATTATTAGTTTAATTGAATATTGACGTGTTTTAAACATATTATTGGTTTAATTGAATATTGATTATCGACTGTTCCAAGATATTCCACTTATTTCTCACAATTAGTTTTAATGTTGGTCTCGCTGGCTAATTTTACAACATATATCTTCTATGTTTAACACGTGTCACAGTGTAACACTGTATTACACATTCTATTTGACACAGTACATGTAAACTTTGTATGTGACACACTATATAACACGATATGTGACACTGTATTACACATATTTCTTACGTATGTAACACATTGTATATGATACACATTAACACTATTAATGGCACACTGTACATAATACCAAGGATATGACACAACGTATATAACATTGTATGGGTTGCTTTCTATGTTGTATTTCAAAATAAGCCTTAATAGTACAAGTACTCTTTATTAAATTAGTAAAAACGTTCGATGATAGCAATTAACGTTTTCTTTCACACGAAAAACTAATATTATATTACAACTAACCAAAGACTGAACAAGCGATATCTACTGAGGTTATTAGTAAGGACATTTAATGTATCTTTAGACGAAAAGATGATTCAATTTTTGAAACTTGGTAATGCCTAAAACGGGACGTCGAATGAGCTTCGTAACTAATGGTTATTAAAACTGACAAAGTCTCGATCCAAACAACTGACGCTAGTTTTCTCATTATTTCAATACATTGTTATTATCAACATGGTATCTCTAACAAATCGCCGCGTCAGACAGTTCAAAAGTATTTTCAACGTCATCCAGGTCTATTGAGATGAAATGGAAACATCTGGAAACCGGATACGTTAATTTGTGTTGTTGTTTCCGACCTGAACAAGAGCCTTTCTATATAACCATTTCACAAAACAAGAGTTTAAAATTCTTTATTTTACAAAAAGATCATCAGCCCGTACAATGGCTGGTAAACTGGGCAAGATATAACCTTCTGAAAAATGTAACCTTAATTATAACCCGGAAGCATTGTTAATAAACGATTCATGCACATTGAAGTTTCATTGATTTCTCTTCATTTTGTTTTCAATAAAATGTGACCAGGCCATTTTATATAGATTGGGAAGGACGTGTTTAGTGACTCACTAAGGTGTGTTTAGTGACTCACGTATAATCACGGTTGTCAAAGTACTATCAGAAAACGTGAAATTTAACGCCGTTGTTTTGTTCAATATCAAAAATGGTATCAGTTGTTCGTGATTACCACGAACTAAAAGAGAGAGAGAAAAGAAAACTCTATCAATATAATACATAAAT